CACACACTCTGACTGTGATCACACACACTCTGACTGTGATCACACACACACTCTGACTGTGATCACACACACACACTCTGACTATGATCACACACACACACACTCTGACTGTGATCACACACACACACTCTGACTGTGATCACACACACACACACTCTGACTGTGATCACACACACACTCTGACTGTGATCACACACACACACTCTGACTGTGATCACACACACACTCTGACTGTGATCACACACACACACTCTGACTGTGATCACACACACACACTCTGAATGTGATCACACACACACACTCTGACTGTGATCACACACACACACTCTGACTGTGATCACACACACACACTCTGACTGTGATCACACACACACACACTCTGACTGTGATCACACACACACACTGACTGTGATCACACACACACTCTGACTGTGATCACACACACACACTCTGACTGTGATCACACACACACTCTGACTGTGATCACACACACACACTCTGACTGTGATCACACACACACACTCTGACTGTGATCACACACACACACTCTGACTGTGATCACACACACACTCTGACTGTGATCACACACACACACTCAGACTGTGATCACACACACACACTCTGACTGTGATCACACACACACTCTGACTGTGATCACACACACACTCTGACTGTGATCACACACACACACTCTGACTGTGATCACACACACACACTCTGACTGTGATCACACACACACTCTGACTGTGATCACACACACACTCTGACTGTGATCACACACACACACACTCTGACTGTGATCACACACACACTCTGACTGTGATCACACACACACTCTCTGACTGTGATCACACACACACTCTGACTGTGATCACACACACACACTCTGACTGTGATCACACACACACACTCTGACTGTGATCACACACACACACACTCTGACTGTGATCACACACACACACTGACTGTGATCACACACACACTCTGACTGTGATCACACACACACTCTGACTGTGATCACACACACACACTCTGACTGTGATCACACACACACACTCTGACTGTGATCACACACACACACTCTGACTGTGATCACACACACACACTCTGACTGTGATCACACACACACTCTGACTGTGATCACACACACACTCTGACTGTGATCACACACACACACTCAGACTGTGATCACACACACACACTCTGACTGTGATCACACACACACTCTGACTGTGATCACACACACACTCTGACTGTGATCACACACACACACTCTGACTGTGATCACACACACACACTCTGACTGTGATCACACACACACTCTGACTGTGATCACACACACACTCTGACTGTGATCACACACACACAGACTGTGCCACACACGGCTCCTGGCCCCTCCCATTGAGCAGATTATTTTGGTAAATAAACAGTGAAAAACATACGTACCCTAAAGATGCAACACCGATAAATATACTCTACACTCAAACATGACATCCTAAAGATACAACACAGATAAATATACTCTACACTCAAACATGACATCCTAAAGATACAACACAGATAAATATACTCTACACTCAAACATGACATCATAAAGATACAACACAGATAAATATACTCTACACTCAAACATGACATCATCAACTCCCAAAACATGTGCAGTTAATACACACATCACATGAAACACAGATACACACAAAACATGTGCAGTTAATACACACATCACATGAAACACAGATACACACAAAACATGTGCAGTTAATACACACATCACATGAAACACAGATACACACAAAACATGTGCAGTTAATACACACATCACATGAAACACAGATACACACAAAACATGTGCAGTTAATACACACATCACATGAAACACAGATACACACAAAACATGTGCAGTTAATACACACATCACATGAAACACAGATACACACAAAACATGTGCAGTTAATACACACATCACATGAAACACAGATACACACAAAACATGTGCAGTTAATACACACATCACATGAAACACAGATACACACAAAACATGTGCAGTTAATACACACATCACATGAAACACAGATACACACAAAACATGTGCAGTTAATACACACATCACATGAAACACAGATACACACAAAACATGTGCAGTTAATACACACATCACATGAAACACAGATACACACAAAACATGTGCAGTTAATACACACATCACATGAAACACAGATACACACAAAACATGTGCAGTTAATACACACATCACATGAAACACAGATACACACAAAACATGTGCAGTTAATACACACATCACATGAAACACAGATACACACAAAACATGTGCAGTTAATACACACATCACATGAAACACAGATACACACAAAACATGTGCAGTTAATACACACATCACATGAAACACAGATACACACAAAACATGTGCAGTTAATACACACATCACATGAAACACAGATACACACAAAACATGTGCAGTTAATACACACATCACATGAAA